GCGGGGGGGCTAGTTGGACGCCCAGGTAGGAACTGCAATTTGGTACTGTTTAGCATGGGACAGAGCAACCCTGATCCTGCCACAGGAGTAGCTTAAGTAGGCAGTTGGCAGAGAACTCCTCTAGAAAAAGGGAATCCTGACCGTTAAGTCTGGATAGAAGCTGCCTGTTATTCCTGATTTTACTCCTCGCTATTCCAGAAAGAAACAACCCAGAGCTGTCCACATCTTCTCAGTTCTGTGTCAGTGGCAGAGACTATGCTGATGTGCAGAACAGTATGTGGAAAAGGCAGTTGTGGTAGTTTGAGAGTTCCAAGGGATAGATGGAAGGATGCCTTCACTGAGAATTCTGATTTTTTTATTTGCCCTATGTTGCCTGTATAACAGGTCCTTAAAACAGCCTTTCTGAATGTTCAGATCAGTTTGAATTGGACGCACTAGTCTTCTCAGGCCAAGAATAACATTTTTAAGGAAAGCTTAGATTGGTAATAATAAAATTCTAATAATCATGAAAGTGATAAAGTTGTGTACTCTCTCATGCATCTACATGCCTGCATGTAAGAATATGCCTGGTAAGAAAGCAGCCTCCTTAAGAATTACCAAAGCAAATAACCACCCTTGCAATATAAAGCATCAATTCAATATTAAAATTACAATTCTACAAACATTTTGAAAAAATAAAAAAATCAGGCAAAGTAAATTGGTACAATTGTAGTGCTTAAAAATATTGCTTTTCCAGTTTGAAACTGCGGCCATGGATATGGAACCAACAACAATGCAAGAAGGGAATGAGGCAGCCTTCCAGAGCAGTAAGTGAAAGAGATCAGGCAGAAGTGAACCCTTACTAAATTGCAGTTCCCTAAAGAAGATAAAAGCAAGCCCCTTTCTCCTCCCTTCCAGAACAGCCCCCAAGTATCTCAGCCTTTCTTAGCGCTCCCGTGGCTTCCCAGGGGTCTAATTAGCTCCTTTGGCACCACCAGTCTCCCTCCACAGCCTCCTTCAGGCCACTCTGGCCCCATGTGCTGGGCAGAAGGTCCTGCGACCGAGACCAGCGGGCCTGCCGCACCTGCTTGTGCTCAGAAGGGAATGAGAGGGTTCTTCTTTGCATCTTCTTTGCAGCGCCAAGTGCAGAGCTGAAATCCTGGGATGTCCACTGGAAGGACTCCAGCTTGAGCCCGTACAAACATTTTGGGTGTGGCACCACATCATTTGTGCCAGACTCAGAGTTGGCCAGAAAAGGACAAGGTCACATCCAAGAACCTGTGCCAATGCCGTGGCTTGGGTTGTGCGGCCTCCCCATCACTTCACTCAAGATAGCGCTCATGTGGATCCCACAAGAGCACCAGCATCTGAGTTTGCCATTCCAGGTTCCTTGGCAAATGGCGGTTTGTGTGCTACACTGAGGATCGGTCTGGCAATGGGATCTGTCCGGGGGTGGGGAGGGGAGGAAAGAAGGGAGGTGATGTGGCCAATCGCTTCCTGGTCCTGTGGCTCCCGTGTCCCTCAGAGGCTCACTTCACAGCAGAGCGTGACTGCCGTGGGGCTGCCACGCACAGCCATTCTGCCTCTGCGGGTTTCTTTTTGGCTGGGGGCTGAGGCCAATCTCTCTTTCATACACAAATCCCAGCACATTGGAGTGTGGAAGTTTAAACCTTCCCTTCCTACCTGCCGAGACAGAGGGACTACAAGTAGGTGGTGGACGGGACAGCCTCTTTCTTGATGGAGATTGCTGGGGCTGTTGAGAAAGGTGACGAACTGTGGATTTGGTAAAGCAGGTCGGGGCACCCATGAGGCCTGTACCTCAGGTCTTGGGGAGCGCAGGTTGTGCACCCCTGCCTTAGATGAACAGGCATGTGAATGGCTGATCGAAGAAGGCAAAATGAGAGAAAACGGCAATTCAGACATCAAACTATTTCCTGTTACAAAGCAATACAATTCACTAAATTAAATACAAAACAATGTAAGGCCAAGCAAAATTTAATAGTATATTTATAACTTTAAAGTGCTTTGTAGCACTTCTCAAATTCTTTGTAAACCATGTTTTAGGTTTGTATGTGTCAAGATTGACCCAGGAAGAAGGCAGATGGGGCAGGCAGAGTGTGGAGTGCAGTGGAATCCATCTAGAGAAGACCTGAAGCAATGATGGCCAGTCCAGGTGCAGCACACCTTGGCTTACTGAGCTTGAGGCCCTGCCCGCCTTCCTTCGTGGCTCGCCATGACTGAAGACAGGCTGGGTTACTTGGCTGGGACTTGCTGCTGCGGATGAACTGAGAAACCTTCACCGCCCTTCCTCGGAGGGGCAGTCCTGTTAGTTACCTGGAGTTCGCCCCAAGCATTTGTGGCAATATTCCATTTCATGAGATCATCTTCTTAGCATGTTCTGAGCAATCCAAAATCTGAAACTGGAAACATTGCTCAAGTGACCTGTGAAACCTTCCACTGTGGCCTGTGGTAAGAGCACGCAAAGCGCCCTGCTGCGCAAAGCCAGCACCAGGTCCAGGACGCACCCTGTTCCCACAGTGGCTTGCCAGGTGCCTAGGTGGGCGCCACAGCTCCTTCCTACTGGTACTTGAGGCTGTGACTGTGGAGGAAGCATAACCATGCTGGCTAGAAGCCAAGGGCGGCTCTATCCAATAGGAATGTGCAAGCTCACTTTCAAAGCCAGCAGGCTTGGTGGCCGCTCCCACATCTTCTGCAAGTAAATTCCATCGTCTCCAAAGAGAGGGAGAAAGGGGGCAATGCGTCTGAGGGCAGCGGTTGTGCATGGCTCTGCTTAATAAGCCCTGGCTGTTTTCATCCAAACTGGGAACAAAGATTCAACTTCCAATGTTAGGGAAGGAGAGGAGCTAAACCATCATACATTCCTGTAGGAATAATTTCCGAGAGCATTCTTATGCTTTATTTAACATATGGCGACGTCACAATTGAGCCACATTTGGCTGCCTACAAGGTGTTGGTGCGTTCTGTCCACGCTCACGTGCTCACCTGGTGTGTGCTGGAGGGGGCAAGCACGGCAGGTGCCAAGCACTCCAGAGTGCGGGGCGGGGGGGGGGGGGAGGCAGAGTGGGGCAGCCTGCAAAGGGCAGCGACCGATGGGACGCCCTGTGACCACCGCTCCAAACAGGCAGCCCCTGCCCGTGGGCTGCATCGCACCGGCCCAGCAGGCACGGGCGAGGGAGGCTTCTGCGGGGCTTCAGGAGCCCTCACCTGACCACCTGAGTGTGTGTGGGCTGCGGAGCTTGGCATTCCCAAGTGAAAGAACCCACAAGGAGCTGTACCAGTTTGTCCAAAGCCACATGAAAGAGCAGCTGGCTTCGCAACAGAGTAACGAACAGGCCAGCCCTCAAAAGTGTGGTTCTCTAGGAAGACACCCTGGTGGAAACTGCGGTTTATTCCCCAGTTCAGAATCTTTCCCTGAACTAAATCCACAGTTTAACATCATGGCCCCCCGTGACCTGCAGGGGTCTCTGATCTCTAAAACTGGCAGTGGAAGGGATCACAAAATTACACTGTGTGACAATGTAGGACGGGACAGAGGCATCTGGGGCTTCCAGGTGAGGCTTTTATTCTACAAGTGCCCTGCCTCAAACATGGAGGGACTTTTAGAGGGAGGGTCCAGACAGGGCTGCCTGCCATTTGTAATCTTCCTGCAGACAAAAGGAAAGAAAGAACAGCCCTTCTTCACTGATCGCATGGCCCCAAATGTAGCATGAACCAGAGTGAGCACTACATTTCCCTGTCCTGGGACGCTGCAATTCATTCACGTTTCCAATTCCTAGCACTGGCCCTAATCCAGTGACTCAGTCCATTGATACGGCTACTATGACGCCCAATCAGTCCCGATGGAATGGCTGGAATTATCTGAAAAGTACAAAATGCTCCCTGCAATCACACCAGAGAAGCTATTAAACTTCTTATCAAAACATTTCCATTTACCAGCAGAAGAGGAGTGAAGGTAGAATAAATACTTTCCATAAGCAACATATCGAGAGAGAAAAATAACAATTCAAGTATCAAAAATGCTATTCTGAGGAAAGTGTAGGATAAGCAGCCAGAGAAAAAACCACTGTTATTAGTCTCCAGATGGATGAAAAAAAATGTGGTCCTTCTTCCATTATCTAGTCGGTTGGAGAACTGGTTTTTTTCCTAAAGATACATGATCCATTTTTTTCACAGAAATACAGAATTCATTTGCAAGTCTAATACTCAGAATGCCTGAAGAATTTAGCATGTCTTTCACAAGAGAATTGCCCATTATTTTTGGTCCACATGAAAAGGCGCATTGGCTCAGTAGCCCCCCCCATTTCACAATCTCACCCGTTGCACATGGACCTTTATATGATGTCATAGGGTGTGCTTCTCTTAATGACCTCTCCCCAGAAAAGGTCAAAGGGGAAATGGGGTTACCTTTCCTTTATGTTGCCAAAGGAAGCCTGGGGGAAAACAGGTGTGATTGTACATGAAGCTTCTAATTAATTTATTAGAAAGAAACTTGGGAGAACTCAAGATGTAAATTTTCAAGTAGAATGTGTCATAGATGAACATATTCTGCAGTACTCCATTAAAAACCAAAACCGTAGCTACTAAAGCCACAGTTTTGAAAATCCATTTGCTCTTCACAAGTGGTCCAAGTAGAACTTGCAAAACTTCCCAAAGATAAAAGTAACTCCATAGAAAACCTTGTTTTGTTCTTGTACATTCTCCACATCAAACCATCTTCACGTCCCTCTCCTGGTAGAAACTCACAGTGCAGCCTCTCTGTCCTGGCTCTTCTGCTGATCAAGAGGAAGGGTTTATCCTTCCTTCTTTGTAAAAAAACAAAAACGGGGGGGGAGGGGGTCCTTCAGTCTGTCTGACAAACAGCAGAGGGGAAGAACGTCTGGCATCGTCTTCACAGCCTAAAGGAGGAAGGAGTTCTGCCTGTTCACAGAATGGTGGGGGGGGGGAGGGGGCGTTCAGACCAGCAGCAAGTCCCACAAAGCTTTTCCCGGAGCAACCAGCTGCTACACTTCTGTGGAGAACAGGATGCTCTGCCTCTTGCTGTCTGGGGTTGGAATAGCCTCCAGTTGCAGGAAGTACAGCAGAACCTGGACCTGGAAGCCGAGGAGGAGAGCGTGGGTCAGTGCGAGCGGCCGGGGCCAGCTGTGCCGCTCACGAGGCAGGCGCCCGAGGCAGGGGCCTGGGGAAAGTGAGGGGAGAGCCAGCCTGGTCATGCTCTGGGGACTGCGTGCTTTGCAGTTGCCCAGGGCAGAGGGACAGTGGTGACCCCATTCTCCCTGTCCACCTGCCCTGCGTATTGGATTAAGTGGTTGGGGGTTCTCTGTGGGTGCTGGAGGGGCATCAGGAGGGCCCGGAACCTGGCCTCTCCATGGGGCTCCCCTCCCGACTAAATACCTCTCCCCCCCCCCCGCCCCCAGGGTCACTCTCCCGACCCAGGAGAATGCCCAGCAGGGCACCTTCCGTACCAGCCACAAGGGCAGAAGGGATTCCCAGCTCCACTGTCAGGCACTGGGACCCCAGGTTATCCCATGACCCTTGGATGCTCTGGAGGCTGCCGGGGATTCTTCCCTTATCTGAAGTGTTTTTACATCCTTCAAGGGTTTCCTAGAATGGCCTGCACAACGAGGTAAATGGAGTAACCAAACAATAAAGCCCAAATAAAACACTTAGAAAAACTGAAACTAGCAGCATAGAAGGCAATAGCAATATAGCCTGTAATTAAAAAGTCTAAGAATTATTTTTTTAAAGTCTTTGACCAGTATCAGAATGCCAAAGTTTTCTGCACCTGCTCCACCTCAGCTGCCCGCCTCACCTACAGACCGTCCATCCAACTGGGGAATTTTCAGCCTGTTCCAGACAGGGTCACACTCCCTCTACAGGATGGGGTTTGTAGCCGGGAGGGTGCTCCTGGACCCTGAGTTATCCCTTGTCTCACAGATGGACTTGATGGCCAGGGGCCCCTTTGATCAGTCATGGCTGGCCTTTCAGCCCCATTCGTTGTTGGATGAGTGAAACCTTGCCACAGGGATCCCAGGACTGAAAGTCCTAAATGACTGGGGGCGGGATATCTGAGGGAAGAGCTGTCTCCATATATCCCTACCAATGAAGACCACTAAGACCTGCATTGGAGGTCCTAATGAAGTGATGGGGGAAATGGCTTGGAGAAGGGACTCCTCCGTGATTGCACTCCACTTATGGAATGCTCTCCGCTTGCCTTTCAGCACCAAGTAAATACTGTTTATCTAACATGTGCTTTTAATAGCCTATTTGGTTTTTACCCTGTTAACGTATTGCTGCTTGCTTGCTATGTTCTTCTGCCCTGCATATCAGATTTATATTTTTAATGGATGTTCTTCTTGTATTCTTGATTTTATTGCTCAATTTTATTGTTTTTACTGGTGTTTGCCAACGTTTTTATTGTAAGACATCCAGAGATCCCTTTGGGCTATGGGGCAGCATATAAATATAAGAGGTGGGGGGCAAACCTCCAAAGCAGAGCACTCCATCATTGGAGTGTCACCACTAAAAGGACCTTTTTCTGGCTGCCACCCACCATGTCTGGTGTGCAAGGAGGCACACAGAGGCAGGTCTGCTGCAGGTGCTACACTCCCAAGCCAGGAAGGGCTTCAAAGAGACACGCAAGCACTTTGGACGGGGTCCAGGAATGGCTGGGGCAGCCCTGTGGTTGTTCTAGGTGGGGGAATGTATTTCCAGCCATTTTGCGACCCTGTTTGGGACTAACAGCTTCTCTAAGGCAGCCCCGTCCATAACCTGTGACAGGGGGGTACACTCAGGCATATTGGAGCAAAGATACTGGAAAACCATGTGGTTCTGCCAGGAAGGCAGACAGGCAAGCACTCAGGACCGAGCCAGTCAAAGCTCCTTGTAACGCACTCGATGTCCCAGTGATTATTTGAGCTTCCAAGGGAAAAGCTGGGCCTATGCCAATGCAGACCTGTGCAGCTCCTCCACAAGCCTTGATGGAGGCAAGGCCGCTACCAAGGGGACTGGCGAAGCAGAGTTAGGAACGACCCGTGTGCTGGGAACACCTCACTCCGGACCTCCGCATGATGTCCCTCAACAGGCCGATGTACGTGCCAAACTGCATGGGACCCACAGCATGAATGCCGTGGGACGGAGCAGCAGCGAACGCTTCTGGCATTCTTTATTCAGGTGCAAATGAAATAACGGCCGCACACTGTGACTTGCTTCCCTGCGACTGCCATTCGAGTGCCCATAAGGGGACCTCCACCTGCACTGAGCCTGTTGCTGGGAAGCTTCTATAGCTAAATGTCGAGGTGGGTGGGAGCCCCGCCCTGTGCCAGGTTATCTGGGAGGGGGTCCTGTTCAGTCCCCGTGAGACCCCCAGCAGTCGCAGGACTGAGGGAGCAGAGTAGTGCCACCCCAGTCCAGCCCCTGTAGGCCTGCCCTTGGCAAGCAGGGGTGGCAATCAGCAGAGGGACGACCCAAGGTGGGGCTGGAGGGCAGGTTGTATGAATGCACAGATGACCGTTTGAAGAACAACAGCTGTAGGGTTAACAACCTGCCTTTCTTCTTCGTGGTCTCCATGCATCACACTCAGGGCTGAGTGTGAAGCACTCAGCAAGCTGACCTCAAGAAGGACAGAGGGTGGTGCCATCACCTGAGGACCAAGGAAAGGACTGTCCTGTCGCAGCAGCCACCTGCGCTTGCCCAGACATCCAGCCTGTGGGGCATGGACCATGTAGCAACTCAGCAGGCCTCTTGCAGGGGGGTCCCTGCTAGGAGGGCTAGAGATGTGGCCATCACTCAGGTGGGGAGAGCTCTTGGCAGAGCCGCAAGTTGAATTCCAGCTGTCCTGTGGGACAGGGAGGTGGTGCTTGTGAGCAGTCTCTGAGCGGAGACCAGCTCTCCTGTATTCCATCCACCACAGCAGATGAAGCGCCGTGAAGAGTGGTGGAGAGACGGTGCTCCGGAGCAGCAGCAGGTGAGGACCCTCTGGATGTCCAGTGAGTGTCAGGTAGACTCTGTCAAATTGGTGGGATCAGCAAAGAATGCTGGGAGGAAGATGTCCTGGCTGAGGTGGAACGAGATGACCTTTGGAAGGAAGGCTGGGTCTGGCTGGAGCACCGCCTTGCTCCTGCAGCAAGTAAGGCGGAGAGGGGCCCCTTGGAGGACGCACATCTTGCTGGTGTGATGGCCACAGGGAGGGCTACCTTCCAGGGGAGAGGTCAAAGGTCAACTGTGGCTAGTGGCTTGAAGGGCTTCTGTGTCGGAGCATGTAGCACAACCGAGATGTTCCGAAGTGGTATGTAGAGGGTGGGGGGGGGCAAGTTTTGAAGGCCCCTCAGGAACTGGTGGGACAGCCAGTGTGAGAAGACTGGAAAGTCCTGCAGTAGCAGGTGGAAGGATGAGATTGCTGCCAGGCGAACCTGAATGGAGGAAGCAAAGGATGTGCTCCATGGTGGATTCTAGTGGGTCAAAGTCCTCCTGACATGTGAAGGCAGCAAAGACTTTCCAGCTGGTCGGGCAGGATTTCCTCTGGATGGCTTGAGAGCTACACTGAGGAGGGTGCCCACATCCTGAGCGAGAGTGTCTCTTATGGCTGCTGCAGCATGATGTGCCACATGGGAAGACACACGGTCTCTGTATATGGGTGAAGAATTTGGCTCTGGTCCTGTAAGAGTGTCCAGGGCATGTGGGAGGAGCTGCATGTGCCACAACATAGTCTGAGGAGATGGGTGCTCCATGGGTGCCTTGGCCACCATGGGGCAACGAGGATGCAGTCTGTCCTGCCTCTTCTCATCTGTGGGAACACTCTTGTGACCTGGGGTGGGAGCCCCACCACTGGAGGAGGCAGATAGCTCCTATCCCCTAGGAAGCTGGGCTTGTCCAGCAGAAGCTGGAGCATGCTGTATTCAGGGAGCCCAGGTTCAATCCGGATGCCCGGAAGCGCTTCCTGACCGTCGGGACCCCCGAGGGGGTGGAACGGGCGTCCAGGGGGGTGGCTGAGGCCCCATTGGGGAGGGTGATCAAGGACAGGCTGGTCATGCACGTGGCGGGCATGTCGTGAGCGGAGTCGGCTGGAGCCGGGGGTCAGACCAGATGGCCCGGGAGGCCCCTTCTGACTCGCTCTGTTTCTGTGCTTCTAAACAGGTTGACTGACGGGTGCCCCACATGTCAAGGAGGGTGTGGAGTGTCTTTGTGCTCAGCTACTGCTCCTGCTCCTTGCGGCTTGTGCAGCTGAGCGTGTCTGCTGGTGTGTGCCTGCCACATGGGTGGCCGTGCAGGTTACGTCACTGCTGAGGCACCAATCTCACAGAGAGCTTTGGTCTTGGGACGGGCCATGTGCTGCCCTGCTTGTTGACGTAGACCTGGCTGTCCGGATGTGTTGTCTGTGCAAGGATGACTGGAAGTCCACCAGGGCTTTGGGAATGGCCAGCATCTCCAGCCTGTGGGCCTCTTGGTGATTCCAGATCCCTTGGTCATTGCAGTGGGCTCCCCACCCAGACAGAGACGCATTTGTGGTGATGGTAACTGATGGTTCTCCTGAGGAGAAGCTGCTTTCTGTTGCCAGGTTTTGAAGGATGGTCCAGCAGCACAGGCTGCTCTCGATGGACATGGGGATGTCTAGATGTGTGCTGCATGGGTTGTCTGGCACCTGGAAGGTGTGGATGAACCACAGTTGCAGGAGTCTCGCCTGAAGTTGACCACCGGAACTGTCGTGGCCGTGAGGAGGTTTTTGTTTCTGGCGGGCTGTGGTGGGTGCTCATGTGCCGAGACCAGTGGTCATCCTATTTAGTGTGCCCGCCCTGGATGCTGGGAAGAGAGCCATTGTGGAGGGTGAGTCAAGGCCAGCCCCGTGAAGAGGACGGACTAGGAGAGCGACAAACAGATTTCTCCTGCTTCATTCAGTGAGGAGTAGGTGGTATGAATGCAGTGCAGCAGTTCTTCCTTGGGCAGCACAGCCGGTAGCCAGTCGCCAAGGGATGGGGAGCCCTGAACTCCCTGAAGGCAAAGGTGTGAGCAGGCTGCTGCCGTGTCTCTGGGAAAGACCCTGAGGCTGGGCAGCCCAGTGGGAGAAGCGAGGACTGGGATGTCTCATCCCCAGTTTGGAAGTGTAAGAAGCGCCTGTAGTTGTGGTCTGTGCTGATGTGGAAGTGGGCACTTTCTAGGCAAACGCGTCCTTTACGTGTTGGAGGCGGAGGATGTTTTATAGGGTGACCACCCAGAATGTCCACAGTTTGATGAACCGATTGATGCCTCTGGGGTCTGGGTCTGACCTGAGTCCCCCCTCCCACTTTGGTGCTGTTAGTATTGAGAGAAGCCCCTGGCAAGGTTGGCGTGCTGGATTCTCTCTGCGACCCCGCCAGGTGGCGGGGGGGGGGCATACTTCTTGTGGCACCAAGAGGTGGGAAGGTGTCAAACCAAGCCTGGAAGCCTCTTTTCACAACAGAGAAGACCCACAAGTCTTGTCCCACAAGAACAGCTGGTATCGGGCCATGATGACCTCACGGTTACTTGGAGACCTGGAGCCTGTTTCTGAGGGTGGGTGATTTGATCTCAGTGTGGTCGAGCCGGTCTTGGACAGTGGCGGCGTTGGTCCCTGGGAGGCTGCTGCTTCCCTTGACAGCGATGCCTAGTATGGTGGTCTGCCTGAGGCCCTGGTAGGAGAGTGTCCACGCTCCTCCTCGGACGCCGACGCGGCACGAGCTGCTCCTTCCCTGGGTGCTGGGCACCTCGGCTGGTCGCCCTTGCCGGCTCCTGCAGCACCTCCCATTCTCTCTCTGGTGGTGCCGTTTCGCCACTTCTCTGGCCACAGGATCCCTGGACGAGTGGCTGGTTGTGCCGAATCTGGGCCAGCTGGAGCCCTGCTCCAGTCGCCGGGGGGGGGGGGGCGAGCGCTCGCACCCCATGCGCTCTGTGCACTCGGCCACTTGAGGGGCCTTCTTCCAGGGTCTGGCCATCATCCTTTGGCTCCAGGCTCGCTCAGTCCTCCCTGACAGTGCATGGAGGCCCCCCCACTGTCTCTCACCCAGGCAGAGGGGTGCCCTGGGGGGGGGGGCTGCTGTCATGGAGGGCACCGCTCTGACACACTGCCCAGGCCGCCGTCGCAGTGGATGGGGAAGGGGGGAATGACAAGAGGCAGCTCAAGCCAGTAAAGGACATGGGGGTGGAGGCAGAGAGAGGCCAATTCTTCTTTTGGAGGAAGAGTGAAGAGTGGGGTCACGAGGGAGAAAGCACAAGAAAAATGAGATGAGAAAGGATGCCAGATACACCACGATGGCGGTCAAGAAGGAATTGGGGGGAAGGGGGGAAGCCCCTTCCAGATGACCCAGAATGGGAAGGGGCAGGGCTCCCACCCAAACGGAATGCTCAGCTGGAGCCGCTTCCTGGCAGCAGGCCGAGCCCGTGGGCGATGCACAGGGACACGGGGAGAACCGCGAGGGCCCCCTCCACCCTCCTTCCACCAGGGCATCTCCTGGAGCAGCCGAGCCTGAGGCGCAGACAGGGTGCCTCCCTGGGTCTGCACAGGCACCACCAACCATGGGGCAGTGGCTGCAGTGCTGCTCCGTCCCACTGGGGGCCAGTGAAGCAGCTGCCCTCAGGAAGCCCCTCCCTTGCACGGCCCGCTGCATTGCTGGGCTTCCTCCCCTCCCCTCCCCTCCCCTCCAATCCCCCTGCCCCACATCACTCCCACCACCCTGACCAAGAGGCAGCCTGACCCTGTCAGCTGGCCTCAGGCCCTGCTTTGCCTCCAAGCAAAGACCATCCCCTGCCCTGTTACCTGGGACATGACTTCCAGTGACCAGCTGTCAGTCATCGCTATGGGCTGGGCAGGATTCGCGGGGATTTTGCTGTCCTTTTCTGATGGTCTGAGCAGCGTTGGTCCAAATACAGTGGCCAGATTGTGCAGCGACATCTTGTTAATGGTCTCCTTCTCAGCAACCCTGAGGTGATTTGTGGAGAGGACGAGAGAGGGAAAGGCAGTCTTGTTCCACAGCTCTCCGCTCAGCTCTCGTCCACGCTGCCGCTTTCACGGCTGGGCCCCTGCCACAGCACGGCCCCGTCTCCCCCCGACACCGCCCCCCCCGGGGCAGAGCGCACTGCCGCGAGGCCCTCCGCATCGCGACCATCCTGCTAGTGGCAGGGGCTTTTGCGGCGGCAGTGTGCCGGCACAGCCTGGCGCCAGCATTACGGGTTGTCTCAGCTTCCAGGCCTCATGGAACCGCACGGTCACCCGACCAAACGCTTTCCACACCACAAGGACAGCCGTGAAGCGTTCCCAGCAGACGGCTGCCCAGCCCACAGCAGAGCTGAGCCGCCAGGTCCCCCGGCACCGAGGAGCTCCTGCCAGGGCATGGCTGAAACGGCCGCCTGCAGTCTCCACGCTCCGGTCCTGCCCTCTGGCCCCGTGGGCAATGCTTCTGCTCCCGCTTCTGGGCGACCTCCCACCCGCCGGCCTGCCGCGGCTCCAGGCCCAGCTGCTTTAGCCATTCCTCACGGGGCTTGGTCTCCAGCCACTCCCCTCCCGGCTGCCCTGCCCCGGCTGAACAGGCTTCAGGCTGCCACCTCCTTCACAAAACGCATTGCCCAGGACTGGGCACGCTGCCCGAGAGGTAGCCCAAACGACACAGAACACAGCAAGGCTACAGCTACCCTATTCAGGCATTCTCTCCTCTGGGGAGTTCAAACATGCAAGGAGCAGGAGCAGGGACTTCAGAAAAACCAGTGGTGGCAAGACAGGGAATCCCAGGCCAAGAAGTGCTTCGGGCATGGACTGCGCTTCCACGGGAGGGGGGTGTTCAAGGATGGACTAGACATGCACATGGTGGGCATAGCATGAACAGAGCCGGCTGGAGTGGGGGGTCAGACTAGATGGCCCGGGAGACCCCTCCTGACTCACTGTTTCTATGTAACACTGCAGGTGAGCAGGATCTCGACATTGTGGCAGCCCACAAGCTGAACAGGAGTCAACAATAAGAAGTGGCTGCAGAGAAGGCAAGCACCACTTTAGGCTGCACGAGACGTTGCGCTTCCAAATCACCTGAAGTACCAGTTCCCCTCGACTCGGCACTGGTCAGGCCTCGCCTGGAGTCCTGCGTCCAGCTCTGGGCGCCTCAGTTTAGGAAAGAAAGATGCAGACAAGCTGCAAAGGGTTCAGAGGAGGGAAGCTAGGAAGGTCAGGGAAATGGAAAGAAAGCCCTGTGAGGAAAGAGTGAAAGAACTGCACAAGTTTTGCTTTGAGAAGACTGAGGGGAGGTGTGGCAGCGCAAGCCCTTGGAAGGCTGTCACAGGGAAGGCCAGGATCTCTCCGCAATCATCCCAGTGCACAGGATGTGGAACAGCAGGCTCAAGCTCCAGGGAGCCAGACTCTGGCTAGACACCAGAAGAGAATTTTCTGCCTACTGGAGCAGTGCGACAACGGAGCCCATGACCCAGGGAGGTGGTGGGCTCTCCCACACGGCAGGCGTTCGAGGCGCAGCTGGGCAGCCCCTTCACCTGGCTGTTTCCACTGCCTTGACCTGGAGTCCTGCACGGAGCCGCAGGGTGTACCTGATGGCCTTACGGCCCCTGCCAGCTCTACCGTGTCTCTGTAACGCTGCACTGCCCTCCATGAGTGGATGGTGACGGGTGTGGTAAGCACAGGGCAGGGCTGGCGCACTCCCCTTTCTTTAGCCAGCTGGCTAACTGGCTTTTTTCTTGGATCTTGGATCCAAAATACCTGAAAATGGCTTTTTTCTTCCCATGCTTTGGACACAATGTTTCTGCTAATGAAGCCTGCTAAGACTACCTTGGATATTTTTTGGCAGCCACATGGCACTGCTGGCTTATTTCAGCTCGTGCACCACAGAGATACCTCCATAGTTCGGATGTGCATAGCCAAATACTTGCAGAACTTCCTATTTATCTCTGTTGAATTTCATCTCGGTGGCTTCAGTCCAGTGTTCCAGCCTGCTCAGGTTACTGTGAATCTTGATTTGCTAACTGAACCTCTCGGCTTCACGCTGTCTCCAGACGTGTTAAGCACCTCTCTACACCCTCCAATATTCCTTGAAGCAAGATGGAACCGGGCCCTGCGGCACTCCTTCCAGGCTAAACTAGAGCCGCTAACGGACACTCCTTCAGTAGAGTTCTCCAACCAGCTCTGGATCCACCAGGCAGCTGCCCTGTCCTGCCCACAGTGATCAGCCTTGCCAACAAGGATCTCATAAGCGACTTTGTCAAATGTTGTGGTGAAGCCATACTATACTTGTCCATAGCATTTCCATGACTGATGCAAAGAGTACAAGATGTTCTGCTTCCTGGTAATCAATCCATTTTTTCCAAGAGGCTCACAGTTTCAGTCTTGAAATACACGCCTTTATTCTTCAAATAGTGGGGAATATGAATTTTTTAAAATTGGGCAAAGAGGGATGATAGGATGGTTTTCCAATACTCCCGTGACTCTTATATCTATATAGATAGAAGGCAGAAAGCATCACAATCCATGATATATTTATGATATAGAAACATTATGTATATGAACTGGGACGCTCCAATTCCTCTGTGTATTAGCTGCTGTTGCAGGCAGGTGGTGTCAGAATACCAGTCCTCGCTGGGTTAAGGCTGAAAAGCAGGGATACTTTGCGCAGCCTACGGGCTTCTGTGCGCGAAGGGCTGCACGCATCATTTTATTGAGATTCTTCTGTTTTTGTTGCAGAGGAACATTTGTGCTTTCCACAGTCCCGTTCCCCCCCCACCCCGGGCTTGTGTTTTCCTACCTTTCTATATATTCTATTAAGTAACCACAAGGGGCGCTTTGGTGCACCCGTGCCACGGCGGATCTGCTCCTTTCATTCCCAGCACTGTCCTGAAAAGCCCCTGCGAGCCTCGGTGCACACGGCATCCATCCGCAGCGCATGAAGGATCCATCATGCTGGGCAGGCCTCTGTTTGCAGGTGTGTGCCCAGCACCTCCCCTTCATTGCTGGAGAGCTGCAACTGCAGCAGAGCACTCTGGATCAGTGCAAGGGGAACTCCGTGTCTCCACAAGATGGCAAACGCCACCCTTGCACCCTCGGGGGCTTCCACAGCGGAAATGCCCCCTCCCAAGTGCGCAGAGCAGCCACAGAGGTCCCGTTCATCTCCATCCTTGTGCCGCAGAAGGCTCGGCCTGGTGTCTGATCCACGCGCGATGAGCTCCACGTGCCAGCAGAGAGTTCTGTCTGCATGTGACCCTAGCAGCGTGCTGGACATCTGCCCCAGGGGGAGCTGCACAGATAAAAATCCTGCACCCTATGGCATCCGCGATGCTGGAACGGTGGTGAGGAATAGCTTGAGAAAAAGAAGGGACACGTCCATCCATGTACTCCAATGTGTTTTACATGATTAAGTAAGGCACCGTGGCTTGAATTTGGGCCTGGGACTGTGGAGATCCAGGCTCTTGCCCCCAATCAGCCATGAAGCTGCCTGGGTGACTTTGGGCCTGTCACAGTCTCTCAGCCTAACTTACCTCACAGGGTTTCTGTAAGGATAACATGAAGAAGTAGGAATTATGGAGGCTGCCTTGAGTTCCTTCCAAGAAATAGGCAGGATATAAATATGATAGAGAAAATACATGCATTACTGTCCCTGCATGGATCTCCATTTTTAATTCCTCCTACCCGAAAGGCTGAAAAAGGAGGGATGCTGAGGAAACCCCCCCGCCCACCCCCACCAGTGTTACCTTTTCAAATGGTCCAGGAGGAAAAGGAATGTAACTAGGTTGGGTTCTGGCAGAGACAGCAGTAAATTCAGCATGCAGCTTTCTTTTGCAACTGGGTCCGAAAGCGCTGGAGGAGACAAGGAGAAACATTATCAGCCCGGGAATGAGATTCCAACTGTGCCGTTGCCGAGCACACATCCCCTGCACTCAAGTTACAAGAGAATCCAGAGGCTATGCCCCATTCAGACATCCTTGCCACTTCCTAAGCACCCCAGCTCAGCGGCCAAGCTTCTCTCCTGGATCCTCCCCCATGCAGGGCTCTGCAGTCAAGGGGTGTGTGCCTGGGAGGTGACCCGACCTCTGCTGCAGGAGAAGCCCTCCAAGGAAAGGACTGCAGGAGGGTGTGGTGGGCTTGGCCCTCCTCTTCTCGCCCCAGGGCTGCAAACATCAGGCCCTCTCTCCCTGCGAAACTGAATGTGGGACACAATGCCCCAGCAGGCTGGAAGACAAGGCTCTGTGCATGCCAAGAAGGGCTGCTGAGTACAGACTAGGGCCTTCTCCCCAGACCCCTTTCCTTTCAGTGGCCCTGGAGCACCACCCTCAGGCAGTTCCCACTGCTCTAGGGCCAGGTTACGAGAGCGGCACAAGCCCTCGCACTGGGCCACTCGCGATGCCTCCTCACAGGGGCAGGGACTGGGTGAGGCAACAGCACTCCCTCCTCTCCAACCCCCAATGCCCCTTCCAAGCCATTTCTGCTCCCCTGGTCAGCCTGGGAGCCTGGGGCAGCAACCCTGAGGGTGCTTCAAAGGCCTGTGCCTCGCCTCTCAAAGCTCCCCCGGCTGCTGTTTCAAGTCCTTCAGAACCCCAGCCCTGCTGACCCTGGGAAACTTGCCAAAGTGGCCACAGGCTTCACGCCCAACAGGAGGCAGAATGCAAGCCCCTGCCCGTCCCACAGAGGGCACAGAAAGCTGGCACAGCTCCAAAGGCCTGGCTGCAGCACGGGCTCCTTCCCTCCTAGGGATTCTGCAGAACAGGCCTGTGCGCCCCCACAGCATCAAGGGCACAGCCCACTTGGAATGCTGCCCGTGGTTCTGACTGTGGCATCAGGGAGAGTCATGCAATAGGAGAGCAGGACAGGGCAGAGGCCTCTGCTCCAACCAAAGAATCCCACTCGGACAGCTGTCCAGTTGCATCTGGAATGCCCCCAGCGTGGGAGAGCCCACAATGCCCAAGTCATGGCCTCCACTGCCGTTCTGCTCCAACAGTCATGACATGTTTTCTGTTATGTAGCTGGAATTTGGCTTCCCACAGCTTGAGCCCGTTATTCTGCACCCTGCATTCTGGGATTTATTCATTCCTCTTTGTGACAGACTTTCAAGTACTTATGCAGCTCTCCCATATCTCCCCCCAGTCTTTTCTTCTTGAGGCTAAACATGTCCAGGTCCTTCAAGCTCTCCTCATGGGGCATTGTTTCCAGACCCCGGATCAGCCTTGGTGTCCTCCTCTGAACCCCTTCCAGTTTGTCTGCATCTTTCTTCAACTGTGGTGCTCAGAAATGGACACAGGACTCCAGATTGCTAGTTGCGAGGTTGCGTACAACCCATCGCAACCCCATGCACAGCATTCCTCCAGGCCTTCCTGTCCTCCACCATCCCCCGGAGTCCACTTAAGCTCATACCAACTGCTTCAATGATTCCATCCAGCCACCTCATCCTCTGCTGTCCCCTTCTTCTTTTGAAATCTATTGTTCCCAGCATTAGGCTCTTCTCCAGGGAGTCCTTCCTTCTCATTAGGTGGCCAAAGTAGTTGAGTTTCATCTTCAGGACCTGACCTTCTAAAGAGCAGTCAGGGTTGATCTCCTCTAGGACTGACCAGTTTGATCACCTTGCGGTCCAAGGGACTCGAGGGAGTCTCCTCCAGCACCACAATTCAAAGGCCTCAATCCTTCGGTGCTGAGCCTTCCTTATGGTCCAGCTTTCACAGCCATACATTGCAACTGGGAAAACCATAGCCTTGAATATACACACTTTTGTCAGCTGGGTGATGCCTCTGCTTTTTAGTATGCTGTCTAGATTTGCCATAGCTTTCCTCCCAAGGAGCAAGCATCTTTTAATTTCTTGGCTGCAATTACCATCTGCGCTGATCTTGGAGCCCAAGAAAATAAAATCTGTCACTACCTCCATTTCTTCCCCATCTATTTGCCAGGAAGTGAGAGGACCGGTTGCCATGATCTTAGTTTTCTTCACGCTGAGTTTCAAGCCAACTTTTGCGCTCTCCTCCTTCATCTGCATCAAAAGGCTCTTTAGCTCCTCTTCACTTTCTGCCATTAAAGTGGTATCATCTGCATATCTGAGGTTGTTATTTCTCCCAGCAATCTTAGTTCCAACTGGTGATTCATCTAGCCCTGCCTTTCTCATGATGTGCTCTGCATTTAATTTAAATAGGCAGGGCGACAGTATACAGCCTTGCCAAACTCCTTTCCCATTTTTGAACCAATCAGTGGTTCCATGTCCAGTTCCCACTGTTGCTTCTTGACCCACATATAGGTTTCTCAAGAGACAAATAAGATGGTCTGGTACTCTCATCTCTTTAAGAACTTGCCACAATTTGTTGTGATCCACGCAATCAAAGGCTTCAGCATAGTCAGTGAAGCAGAAGTAGATGTTTTTCTGGAACTCCCTAGCTTTCTCCATGATCCAGAGTATGTTGGCAATTTGATCTCTTGTTCCTCTGCCTCTTCAAAATCCTGCCTGTACTTCTGGTAGTTCTCGGTCCACATACTGCTGGAGCCTAGCTTGTAGGATTTTGAGCATTACTTTGCTGGCATGTGAAATGAATGCAATGGTGTGGTAATTTGAGCATTCTTTGGCTTTGGCCTTCTTTGGAATTGGAATGTAAACTGACCTTCTCCAATCCTGTGGTCACTGTTGAGTTTTCCAAATTTGCTGGCATATCATGTATAGCACTTTAACTGCATCGTTTTTTAGGATGTTGAATAGCTCGGCTGGAATACTATCACCTTCACTAGTTTTGTTGTTGCTCAGACTTCCTAAGGCCCATTTGACTTCACATTCCAAGATGTTCTGGCTCGAGGTCAGTGACCGCCCCATCATGGTTATCAGGGACATTAAGCAATTTCTTGTATAGTTCTTCTGTGTAATCTTGCCACCTCTTCTTAATCTCTTCTGCCTGTTAGGTCCCTGCCATTTTGGTCCTTTATCATGCCCATCTTCGCATGAAACGTTCCCTTCATATCTCCAACTTTCTTGAAGAGCTCTCTGGTCCTCCCCATTCTATCGTTTTCTTCTATTTCTTTGCACTGTTCATTTAAGAAGGCATTCTTATCTCTTCTAGCTGTTCTCTGGAATTCTGCATTCAATTGGGTGTATCTTTCTCTTTCTCCCTTCCCTTCTTTCCTCAGCTATTTGTAAAGCTTCCTCAGACAGTCATTTTGCTTTCTTGCATTTTTTTTTCTTTGGGATGGTTTTAGTTGCTACCTCTTGGATGATGTTGCAAACCTCCGTCCATAGTTCTTCAGGCACTCTGTTTATCAGATCTAATTCCTCGAATCTATTCGTCACCTCTACTGTATATTCATCAGGGATATGATTTAGGTCATACCTGAGTGGCCTAGTGCTTTCCCCTCCTTTCTTCAATTTAAGCATAAATTTTGCAAAAGAAGCTCATGATCTGAGCCACAGTCAGCTCCTGGTCTTGTTTTAACTGAATGTATAGAGCTTCTCCATCTTTGGCTGCAGAGCACATAGTCAATCTGATTTCTGTGTTGACCATCTGGTAATGTCCATGTGTAGAGTCATCTCTTGGGTTGTTGGAGAAGAGTGTTTGCTATGACCATCGTATTCTCTACCAGCCTGTGCCCAGGGAGGTTACCCAATCAAAAAATAAAATCCTGATTAGTCTGCTAGGGTTTGCTCTTTAGGAATCCCTGTTGGCTTCTAATCATCACTGCATTGACTTCAAGGTGTTTGCAGACTGATTGCTTTCTCATCTGCTCCAGAATTTTCACAGGGTTGATGTCAGACTGACTGGTCTGTAGTTCCCGAGTTCATCTTGTTTCCTTTCTTGAAGATGGGGATAACCTTTGCCCTCTTCCAGTCATCTGGCACTTCCCCTCTCCTCCATGATTTCCAAAAGATAGTAAGAGAGTGCTTCTTAGACTTCTTCCATCAGCTCCATTATAACTCGAAGATGAAGTATATTGTGCCTGTGGGATCTGAATTCATTCAACCAATTAGATGATCGTTGACCATTTGCCCACTAACCTTGAGCTGCCATCCTGCCCCTTCAGCTTTGTCAGGAAGGTCACAGATCTTCTTTTGGGAGACAACAGAGCCAAAGAAGGATGAGCATTTCTGTCTCTCTGCCATTTGTTATCTTTTTTTTTTTTTGCCATCCATCCTGAGGAGCCAAACCCCCGTTTCTTTCCTCTGTCTTTTCCTATTAATGTATCTGAAGAAGGCTTTTCTGTTGCTTTTAGCATCCCCCTCCAGAATTTGTCTCCCAACAGATACTGGGGAAATTTAAGTCCCCCTTAACATACTGCTGGCCTTCCATTTTATTTCTCACAACCACCGAAACAAGCATTGCTTAAGCAAAGGAGAGGCACGGATGCCAGCACACACCGATGCCTCCAGCAAAGTTGGGGTAAAGCTCATCTGTGAAGAGGGGCTCTGGCAGCTCTCGGAAGTACAGTTTCAGTGTCCCTGCAATGGCATTGACGTCCATCTCGTTCATCATGACGGAGACATCTTTGTTGTCTGAAAAAGAGAGAGTGCATGGAGAGGTGAGGGCAACAGAATTACAGGTCCCTGCAAGGTCGATTCTGAACTGTTTGACTGCTATCTCATAGCAGCCCTCAGTATCTGGAGACTGACCGCGTGAGGGCTTTCAGGCCTTATTATGCTCCGGGTTGCCATGAATCAGGGTTGCCTCTGACTCAGAATCAGAAGAGGCAGCTTGCTGACCTGTAACTGCTGCTCGCTGAGTGGTCATTGGTGCATTCAGACACGTGTGCTTTGCACATGCGCAGGGCCTGTTGTCAGGAAGCTTCTATAGCTGAGTGTTCTGTTTCCAGGAAGTGTGGGGAGAGGCTCCCACCCATCCCCTCAGCTGCTAAGGAGACCACCATGGGTCTTTGGCTCAAGGGAAGGAGAAAAGATCCCAACCTGGCCTGCCCAACATGTTCATGTCCAGCCTATCCTTGAACACCCTCACCGATGGGGCCTCAACCACCTCCTGTGGGAGCCCTTTCCATACTCCATGGATCCTAACTGTCAGGAAGGACTTCCTGGCATCCAGGGATGGTGGGTCAGTTCGGAGGGAGCAGACCTCAGTGGCATGTCCAGTTACTGTGACCGCCCCCGGAAAGTCCCCTTCCAGGAGAGGAGACAAAGGTCGGCTGTGGCCAGCAGCTGGAAGGGCTTTTTGGTGCAGGGCTGCAGCACGACGGCCTGGATCTATGCTGGGGTGCAAGGCCAGATGCGGAGGAGGCGGCAGAGTCCCCCCAGCAATCTGCACGATGGGAGCACGCAAGAAGTGATGCTCCTCCGGTACTCTGAGGAAAGGGGAAGTGGTCAAAGGGAGGGGAGCTTTTGGCCATTCGGGGAGAGGCCTGCAAGAGGGGCAGCATGTCTCCCGCACTGGCCCACATGGCTGAAGCCTCCCCAGCATGCAGCGGCTGTGAAGGGTTCCACGTTGCCAGGCAGGCCCTTCTTGGGGACAGCTGAAGTCACGGGTGGGCGTGACTCCCGCCGGCAGCGGCCCTGCCCCTGCTCTAGGGTGCGAGTCTCCAGGCTGGCTGGTGCAGGGTCCCCATGCTGGGGCGAAAAGCTTGGACCGGCCCTGTGAGATCGGGTCCTGGGAATGGGGCAGGTGGATGAGGCTCCCCCGCAGAGGTGGGCGAGCCAGTTGCTGAATGTGGAGCCCAGCCTGTCCTGGAGAGCACACTGGCGACCAGGGAAACAGTGGCGAAATGCACAACGGGGCTCTGCTGCCGGAGAAGGGCAGCGTCTCTCCGGGAGCCCTGCCCTGCCCTGCCCTGCCCTGCCCTGCCCTGGAGCAGCGCTCCAGGAGGTCAGTGGCCTTGCCAGCCTCTCCAAGCCCCATGATCCTGGGGTGCAGCATGCCTGGGTGTGCCTGCGCTGGCAGGGGCTGCCAGTGTGGGGGGAGGATGACGGTGCCTGCCGCGAGGCTGTGGGGAAGGCCCAGCCCCGGAGGCTGCTCCGGCGGAGGGCAAGGTGTCCAAGTGGGTGCTGCAGGCCCCCCTCTGTGTGACAGCTGTGGGCAAGCCACAGTATGGGGCCTCATTCGAAGCCTGGGAAGTGGACTGCCCCCCCGCCCCCCCGTGGCTGCTGGTGGGAGCACTTGGCTCCCTTTGGGTGTGTCTCTGTCTGCCTGAAGTGGGTGAGAGGGTCACGCCTCTCATGTTGCAGGGCTGACAGGCACCTGTGGGGGCATTCCATGTACGCCCATCTCTGCTGTTGGAGGAAAGAGGTCCCAGACCCTGGACCCCGAGATGCTGGCCGCTGGCAACCCGCATGTCTGGCAGCCAGCCAAGCTCTCTGGATGGCAGCCACCCTGTCATCCTTTTGTGCATCAAAGAGACCCTTCCCGTCAATGGTCCACAAGGATGCAGCATGTCTCTGGAGGGATGCAGGTGAACGGGGCCAGGCGTGTCTGTGCGTGGCCACTGCACCCCCCACGGCCTTGGCGCCACAGTCCACATGGTGCCGGGCTGCGGTGATCTGCTGCCAGGAAAACGTGGGTCCCTCAGCCCGGTGAAGGCGGGCGGCGTCCCCGAAGGGATCCAGGAGGCGCTCACTCACGTCGCTGCCTTTGTCCTGTAAAAGTGGCTGGCAGTGGGCCATGGCGGCCTCATAATCAAAGGCCCCATTCCAGGAGAGAGGCTGCGCCTTCTGCCTCATCAAGCCAGCCACCCGGTCAGCACCCCTGCAGCTGACCGGCGCCATGTGCTCCTGCGGTGGCGTGCCCCGTGCCGATGCGATGACCCTGGAGTTGGCTTTGGGTGCTGGAAAGGACATGGCACAACCTTTCCCAGCACCCAACAGGTCGATTCCGCCCTCCTGGATGTGTCAAGGGAGGTGGCAGGAGCCTTCCAGGACTGCTTGAAAGTGTGGGGTAAGGCAGGCCAAAACGAAATCGCCACCAGCTGCGAGTCCTCAGGGACCAGAGCGCCAAAGACTGGGCTGTGACCTGATCCTGCAGCTGTACAGAGTCTAGTCCCAGGATTGAGGACATCCTGAGTCCCTGTTCCCGAGAAGCACCCCCTCTCCTCCATGGGGGACATGGGGTCCTGGGTTGCCATGGGGCAGTTCCTATGGACCGGCTCCAGGTCCAATGCAGTCTTTCATGCTGGATGATGGCGAGGGCATTCTCAGTCTCTGGCACTGAGGTTGATGGTGTTAGCCATCAGTGCTAGCTAGGTACCAAGGCCTGGCATCTGATGGCTGGTGTTGGTCCAGTACTGAGGGCTAGAGGTGGCCAGATGCCAGGACCTGGTGTCAGCTTTTGCATGGTGTCAACTGGATGCTGAAGGCTGGCACCTGCAGGACAGCCTGTCCTCACACTGACCCAGTGTTGAGGGCCCGGGGTCAGAGTCTCATCTCAGTGCGGTGGTGCTTGTGCTGGCCGTACAGAGACCCTGTGTCAACTTGGTATCTGGCGTCACGTCTGTCATCACTGAATGAGCCAGTCCCTTCTTGCAAGCAGAGGGATGAGGGCAACCAGTTGGAGGCCCTGTCCCAGGTGATGCGGGGAGAGCAGGCTTGATCCCGGTGTCCTCTGGTCCCTGAGCACAGTGTCAAAGTTGGCCTGGCAGGGTGCCTCAGCATCAAGCTGCTCTCTGACGGGGACGGCATTGGTCTCGTGCAGGTGTCAGGGAGCACTGCAGCGCCACGTCCGTCATCAGGCGCATCAGTATTGTCTCTCAAAAGCATGGCCTCCCAGGCACTGAAGTTCGGGGTGACGGGTGTTCCAGCGACCACATGGGCCAACTCCAAGCTCTCCTCCCAGGGCAGCAGCGGTGTTCTTCACCTCCAGGGACCACAATCAGTTGACAAACACAGGGGACCTGACCGTTGTCAACAGTGACTCAGGTGGTCTCTTTCCTTTTGTCTGGGTGTGGTGGCCATCTTCTTGGAGAACTTGGTGGCCTTCCAGGCCACACAGGTGCTTGGCATTGTGGTTCGCCCAGGGATTCTCTAGCGACCCAAGTGGAAGGACTGCCCTGTCCTTTTTTGGAAGAATCCATGACAGAGGGCCCTCTTCCAGAGTCAGCCTTGAGCTGGTCAGCCTGGTGTCTCTGGGTGTGCTCTGCGAAGACCAGGCAGTGCACACCAGCCGGCACCACGTGTCCAGACAAAGGAGGCACAGGAAAAGCTGTCAGAGGGAGAAGGCCTGCTCTTGGGGCAGCACAGCTCCTGAAAGCCTCCAGGGATGCTGCTGTGGGAGACAGGGAAGGCAGAAAGGGAGCGAGAGGGAGAAACTGGCACAGGCATCTCAGGAGAAAATGTATGGTGTGGTGGATGGAAAGCGGGCAGAGAAAGGTCTTTTTTTAAAGAATAATTTACATAAGAGAGAAAAACAGGTCAATCAAAGGAGGAACAGGAGAGGGTTTTTTTAATACAAAAGAGAAGGAAACAAGCGAAAAAGGAATGCTGATACTCAAGGAGTAGGAGAGAAGTGATGCCCCATGTAGGAGTGATGGAGACCAAAATGGAACTGGGAGCAGGAAGGGGAGGGGCTCCCACCCAAGATGAATGTTTAGCTATAGAAACGTACTGACAACAGGCTCTGCACGGGTGCAAATCCGATGTGTGTGATACGCACACAGACCACAAAGGAAACCATCATCTACAAACCACTTCAGCCAAAGGTTTCCTAAGGCAATCTTGGTTGCCATCACGGATTTCTCCCTAACAGGGCAAACTGCAGTGCAGTAGATTCCCAGCCTTTGGAGACCAGGGTTGTGTCTTCAGTATAACTCGGGGCCCCGTGCTCTGCAATTTCTGCATGCGAACCCCAGGGGACCGACCCCCTGTGTGCGGTGATCACCACGCAGGCACTCAGCCCTGGCTTTCTTTCTCAGTCTCGATCTCTGAAGGCGGTGTGCACACAGCAATCCGCCAGAGAGAGGCCAACAATGGAAAATGTCGCCTGTTCAGGGTGGACCAGCACAGACCAGCGAACTATACACCTCAGAGGACATGGCACGGGGAAGGGAGGTTCCAGGCGTCTGTCTGCAGGGGGACTCACCTGAGTTCCCTGGGCTGGGCTCCCTAGGGTCAGGATCGGAGTTCCCGGCGAGTGCTCCCACATTCATGGGCACATGCCCAGAGCCAGGCCCACATGCCCTGCAAGATGCACCCCGTTTCCCCCCACAGTGAATGGAGAAGAGGGCCGGTCGCCCAGAGTGACAGCCGGTGTGTTCTGTGCAGTCTCCCTTTTCTGTTTGCACTGCTGCCGCCAGGCTGGTCACCAGGATGGTGCACCTGCAGCGCCTCTTCCCCCAGCAGCAAGCAGGGAAGCAGTCTGGTCCCTGCCCTGGGAATGGCTGCTGGGGCAACCACTCACCGGGCCCCCTTTCCACATCCTGCAGGTGCTCCTGATGCAGAAGGAGGCCGGTCACACAAGTAGAGCTCCTGCAGAAGCAGAAGGGGGTCCCTGGGAAGGCAGAAGCTTTGTGATTCCTTTCTGTGACCAAATCTTCTCCCCAACCTGTTAACTCTGCAGCGTCTTT